GGGGTATTCGGCTGTCCCAGAATTTTGCCCTTGTCCCAGAATTTTGCCGCCCACTCTATGAGTGGGGTTCCTTTTTAGTCAAACCCACGAGTATCTTGGTGACCATTCACAGTTGATTGCCCTGTCACTTCCCATGATTAAACATTGCTGGCCTGTTTGATGAGTTTGAAACGGCTTTTTCCTTCTTTTTAACCATCACAAAAGAAAAGACTCGGTCTAGACAGTTTCTTATCATCACGCCAGTCCCTTATACACCGCATAACAACCGAGACTGAAGTCAACAATCGGTCTGTCCGTTAAGTGGAATATTGGACGTACACCATCTGATCTATTCTCCTTGTGATCCCACCCTCTTTTTATCGATCCTTGACCTGTTTTCGCACTGGCGATATCCGTCCTGGATTTATATCTCCGTAATCCTTCATAATCCCCTGTCCAACATGCGAATTGTTCCCTGAACAGTAGATCTCTCTTCCACAGCGCATCTCAAGGCCGGCAGTCGTCCAATCGCTTGACTACTTGTTCCGCACAGCCATAGCCACATTATCATCTGGTATCTACACGTTCTTCACTGGCCGAGTCGGCCATCATAATCGATAATTGCATAGGAACTATGACACAACAACAGCATGGCTCGTCAACTGCGACGCAGGAGCATCACCCTAAAGTCGTTGGCAAGAAACTAGCCGAGACAGCCGTCCAATTCACACAACAAGCTGAGAAGCTCTCACACCAACATCCAACGAGCGAAGACCCCGGAGTTGCCATCGAAGCAAAATTTGTCACGCCTCATGACCCTGTTATCATCACTTCAGATGGAAAACGACTCCCGGGTGTGCCATTGCAGGAGGCGCATAGGCTTAATGTCCTGAGGGAAGAGCTTCAAGGCGAGCCTGAGAGTGTCGAAATCAAAGCAGGAAACGAAACCAAGGAGAAAATATCCAATGTCGAGAACGCAAACCCCGAGCAAAAAAAGGTTGTTCAGTTGCCTTCAGAACAGAATGGCGCATCTCTACAAAAGTCCAACAGCAACAGCACATTGCGAAAACAAACACCCCCTTCTCATACCAATCCTCTCTTCCCTCCACTGCCGCTATATGGGCCTCCCAATATGTTGCGCAATCTTCAATGCATGTTCTTTCGAATCAGCGCATTCTTTCTCAGTCTGGCATTTCTCGGCGTTATCGTCTTGGGCTCATTGTTTACGACGATACCCATGATCTGGAAGAACATCTGGTACCGGCTGACTTTTCGCGATCCTGATTCTGATAGGCCGTTCTATGAAGAAGAGAAACGCAGAGCTCAAGCAAGACGCGAGCAAGAAAAGTCTTGGAAGCAAAAATCACCAAATGGACGAACGCTAGACAGGATGGAAAATGCTGAGGAATTCCCACCAACCGAAGGCGGACCAGACCCAATCATCTGTGACGTCGCATATTATGCGCGCAGAGTTGGTCTAGACGTTGAGACATTTGAGGTTCAGACCGAAGACGGATTCATAATCGACTTATGGCATGTTTACGACCCCAAAGAGTATACCGAATTGGAGGAAAGCTTGAGGTCTGATCAAGGGCCAGAAGTATTCCAACCCCAGAGGAAGAAGCTCAAAGACCCATCACAGAAGCCAAAGTTCCCCGTGCTGCTCATGCATGGCCTCCTACAAAGCTCGGGTGCTTATTGCTGTAATGATGACGACTCTCTCGCTTTCTGGCTGTGCAAGTCTGGCTATGACGTGTGGCTTGGCAACAACCGTTGTGGGTTCAAGCCCAAGCATGCACTGCTTGAGTACAACGACCCGAGGATGTGGTGCTGGAATATTAGACAGATGGGTGTTTTCGATCTTCCCGCGTTGACGTCGCGAGTCATCACAGAGACGGGTTTCGAAAAGATTGGACTTATCTGCCACTCCCAAGGTACAACTCAAACCTTTGTCGCTTTGGCCAAAGAACAGCGACCTGAGCTGGGCGAGAAGCTGACCGTATTCTGCGCTCTCGCCCCAGCCGCATATGCTGGCCCGTTAATCGGCAAAATGTACTTCAAGTTCATGCGAATCATTTCGCCAGGTCTATTTCGTCTCATGTTTGGCATCCATGCATTCATTCCTTTCATGATGCAGATGCACAAACTGTTGGATCCCCGTCTATATGGCTGGCTTGGTTACAAAGTCTTCTCGTTTCTGTTTGACTGGACTGACGCCCGTTGGGATCGTGGCCTTCGCAATCGCATGTTCCAGTTTGCGCCTGTTTACGTCAGCGCCGAGTCTATGCGATGGTGGCTTGGCCGAGAGTGCTTTGCCAAGCACAAATGTATCTTGTCGACGAAAGAGATTGTTAGAGCTGAGGAGCACATGGATTCCAAGGGAGATGGACGGCCCGTGACACCAAGGACCTCATCGGCGCTCGAAGCTCATCGAAAACATCCCAAGGGCTCTACCGCGTGGTACAACAAACAAGCACCACCTATGGCTATGTGGGTTTGTGGTAACGACGATCTTGTTGACGGAAGGAAACTGCTCCGGCGGTTTGAGAAGGGCCGCGAGCCTCATGTCAACTTGGTCCACAGCAAGGTGATTCCTGAATACGAACATCTAGATGTCATCTGGGCGATGGATGCGGTCGATCAGGTTTTCAAAGAAGTACGTGAGGTTCTATGGAAGACATGCAATGCACGCGATATTTGCCGCGTCCCTGAAGGTTGTGAGGCGGTGCTACCAGAAAAGGAGAAACTGTCTGTCAAAGAAGATGTGGTAGAGGAGTGCCAATCGAGTAGTAGCGGCGAGACTTAGAAAGTGTTCAAAGAGACATAACGATAGACACGAACTAATACACGGAGATGAAAGAGGGATGCGGATATACATGGAACACAAAAAGGATATACGGATTTGAGCATATATGGATTGATATCATGTTATGGATACCTCTGCTTGGCTTTGTGAATATCAGCACTTTCAGATACCTCGAGTTGAATTTCACTATGGGGCGATGGTGTTGTTTGGATGACGTTGAGGTTGGTACATGTTATGTTGAATACCGAGGCAACGAGTTCAGACATGCTATTTTAAACATGGATTAAGTTAACATGATCTCTTATACTAATTACAGCGCCTGCATCAATTGCAGTGCTTAGTAGCAAGTCTACAACCTCTTTATATCGAAGAAATGAGATCACGGCAAACGAGAGAGTTTCGTAGGACGTGGTAGGTGTTTAAATTATCTTGTACACTAGTCGTATATTCTACAATTCATTGCCTTTCATAGGTGGATGTCGCGCTCTTTGCCTGTAATAACACAAAACCATGGTGCGAAACTCATGGTTGAAACTGAATGCCCCCATACTTAACCCATGCGCTCAGCCTCCTCCAGCAGCTTATCAACGCTGAATCTTGAATCGCCAGCTGCGAACCAGTTCAGCAGCTTCTTTCGCTCCTCAGCCCTATCCTTACGCTCACCAGTCAGCTCGACTTCCTCACCATCCCAACCACCGTAGAATCGCTGTAGAGACATGAGTAGCCACTTGGCGTTCTCTGGTGTAACACCTCGGTCAGGCAGGACCTGACCCTGCATCAAAACCAGACCTCGCTCATCGGCAAGGTCGAGGTGGTGTGTGATGGTAGTGTGAGGCTGCGCAAACTCGCCTCTGTTCTTGTATTCAGCAAGCTGGGTGAACAAAACAGTGCTAGTCTTGGACGCGGTATCAAAGGTCCACTGCAGGAAGTGAATCTCTGCGCCTTGGGCGGGATGAGGCACTGGGAGGACGAATTGAGGTGCTGTTCGTGCAGCGTCCTCCATGGCCTTGTATGTAGACATCGGGATTACAGCACAGAGGTTCTGCTCAGATGAGGCATGTCGTAGACGCCAGATAGCTGTAAGCTCCTTCTCTGGAAGCTCCCGTGCCTTGGGGAGGTCAATGATGTCATTTAGAGTCTTAATAGCAGGCTTATCCGAGCCGGCTGGAGGATGTTGAGGAGGAGTGGTAGGAGGATCGCGAGGGTCTCTGGTGGGTTGGTCTTGTCCAGGGGGGTTGTCGGCGTTAGGTTGAACAACTGGTGTTTCGGGTGCTTGAGGAATTGTTCCAACTGGAATCTCAATACCACTCTTTCGACGCTCAGCATCAATTTTGTCAGCGTAAGCTGCCTTGAGCTGGTCGATGCTCTGGAGGCCCTCTTTTTGAGCCTTCTGGTTCAGCTTCTCTTTGTACTTCTCGACGACGGCTTGCGAAGGTTGGGTTGTCGCGAGGAAGCGAATATCGTGAACTTGAGCCCATCGTCGCTGGTTGATAGCTCGGGTGGTGCGTATGGGAGCGGCTACAAGCCGGCGAAGGGCAGGAATTCGTAGTGAGGCCATGCTGAAGGTCAATTGAGTCGACAAGCCACCTGTGGACGTGTCGGGCTCAGCTGTGTTGATGTGTTTTGAAGGTCGATGACGGAGAAAGAAATACAGGGGTTGACCACCAAAATTCGCTGTCGTCACTTAAGAAATACTGTAGTGGGGCCGTGTCTGCGGAATGACGGGACATCTCCGTTGAGGTCGATGGCCGGCTTCGGAGTTTGGCATGATGACAAAGAGGGCTTCAGCAATTGGACCAATCTGATAAGACTTATATCAAAAACCTCGAAACCCAGGATATACCAAAGAATCCGGGCCTTATTTCACAACGTCTCTCATATTATTTTCTTACTTTGACATCACTCTGCAGAAAGCCAACTACAGCGCTCAACTACCCCGCCATACAATTTCACCGCTTTTGGTGGGCATCAGCTTTCTGCCACTTCACTATCGCAAACTCGAGGGGCAAAGTTGCAAGTTTCGCTATACAGATTGTGTGGTATTGGGCGATTTGTCGGCTTTTTACATCCTAAAAGACGATTAAAGGGACTGTGCAGTCTCAAATTGTCCACGATGGCGGACTTTAGGCAGTGGGCTCTTGAATTTGTTCTGGCCGACAATGAGGGGCAACAGACAGCGATAGCCAAGAAGGCTGCCAACGGTACTTTAGTCCATCCCTGCTAAATGAAGATGTTCTGACTTTGTCTAGAGATTCAAACTGCAGCGTCCAATACAAACCCTGTAGCTCGATGGGTCGAAGCTGTGCAACCTTGGATGCCAGGTGGTGGTAATGAGGCCGAGAATGAGACACCAGATTGGACGGCGAGGGCAAAGGGTGAGTCTCGGTTCATACATCGTGGCATCGGCCATGTCTAACTGTAATAGCGCTTGAGTTTCTATCACGGACGTTGGATTTCCTAAGCAATGATATTCTGAAACCCAGTCAAGGTAAGCTCATGTACAAAACATGACTCCGATTTCGTCTAACAATTGATCAGTGAAACTATTGGTCAGCTTCTTCGGAGCCATGTTCGAGGTCGATCATAAAGCTGGAATTATGCCCTCCGCAAGCGCTCTATCTAGGATAGTCGCCATGAAGTCCTTCCAACGGCACATGGGACACGACATTATCCAGAAAGTGTGCTCCCTCAAGGACGACTTCCCACGCCAAGTATCTAAGACCAGACTCGAAATCTACGAGCTCATACGACTACTCATGACAACTCCTGGTGTCGCCAGCGACTTACAGAACACGCATGGCTCGTCTGCTGGCTTTGTGCTCGACTTGATTCAACTGTGCAGAAGTGAGCGAGACCCTGAGTGTTTGATGGTGTGGTTTGATATCTTGAGATTGTTCATGTCTGAGTATACAGTCTCTCAAGATGTATTGGAGGAGGTGTATGGTGTTTTCAAGCCATACTTCCCCATTTCGCTCCCTAGAGCATCTCAGGTTGCAATTACCCCTGAAGAGTTGAAGCTACAACTGCGAAAGTGCTTTTCAGCAAACCACTTATTAGCTGATAAGGTCTTTCCGTTCCTTTTGGGCAAACTGGATCAGGGAGATGCTGTAACGGTCAATGTCAAGGTTAGTAAGCCCCATTCTTTAAAAAGAGAAATTCAGCTGACCAAATCCAGCTCGATATCCTCAAAACCATGCAAGCTTGTCTCGATGAGTACAGCCATCCACAGAAGGCAATTGCTCCCTACGCCAACCAAATATGGGGCAGCTTGAAATACGAGGTTCGAAATGGCGAAATAGAAGATACCATCTGGGGCACATTGGAAGTTCTCAAGTCTCTCACTCGACGACTCGCTGGGGATAGCCTCCGCGATTACACACTATCGGTTACCCGAGACTGCGTACCAGACCTCGCGACAACCATGTATGCCTCGTCCGCCGGCCGACTCATGGTTAGTGTCTTGAGCTCCAAGCCAAGCGCTTTTGTCCTAATGGCTGCTCCCGTTATCACGCATATCAAAGAGAACTTGCGACATCCAAAGGCACCCGTTCACACCCAGGATCTTCTGAAGGTCTTGCACATCATCCTAGAAACCCGCTTCTTACTAGTTGACACAAATATGGCTGCTGAGGACCGAGAGGATTTTGCTGCCATCGACGGTTTCTTCAAGTCTCTTTACCAAGACACCTTTAAGAACCCTGTCAGTCTTGGCTCTAAACCGGATGCCTCGTATGATGATATAAAGGTTGCTACACAAGCAGTTCCGGGAGCTGGAGTTTTGGTTTGCCAACGGCCCTCCAAGTCATTGGATCTGTCCAACAACGGCGCAAGCGACATCTCTCAGCGATTACTTCCCGAGTCAGCTTGCTCAGAAATCTGCTCATCTCTCTTTGCCATTCTCAAGAAGTCGGGTCCCGGGTATCCTCGATCATCTGGGGGCGATGAACTCATTAACGATGCTGCCCAGGCTCTCCAACGGGCTATTCGGTACTTCCCTCGTGGCTTCGACGGTCTAGTGGATGAGAGTTTGAGCATCATTCGCTCTAGCCGACAAAATGGTAATGTTCCCGATACGGTTGAGACGATCAAGACTCTTGGAGGTTTGGTTGCATATCTGGGCTCCTCAGAACTACCTTTCACACCACGCGACGGTTTCGATCACTTCATTTACTCTATCCGCGCATTCCTATCAGAACTCTTTGATTCGCTCGAGTCCAAGTCGGATCCTGAAATTTGGTGTGCCCTGGTCGCTACAATCCAATCCACTATTCGATATTTCAACGACGCCTGCTTGGCAAAGAACCCCGACAAAGAATTCTCCATCGAAGGCGAGCCCTTACAGAAGATCGGCTCTGCGTACCCTGCCTTGAGTCTGCTTGGCGGGGAGACAGTAACTGAGTCGTCTCCTGAATATCATAGCCAAGTTCCTCAGTCAGCCTCTGTGGCCGAGATTAGAAGCGAGTTCTTACTCGTTACCCTATTCATTGCTAGACGACTCTATCGCCGAGCAACGAAGGTAGTTGATACACATCCTCAGACAGGCAAACAAGCTCTGAGTTTGAGTGATGACTTCGCCAATGTCGATGAAGTCTCTGGACACCAGTACCTTCATCTTATTTCCACTCTTGCAGGCTTTGTCATCCACGAGTTCAGTGAAACTCAACAAACATCACTCAAAGCCGAGAGTTTTGCAATTAGCCTCTTTCGTGATGAGTCGATTAGGGTTCCCCAGACGGTACCGGAAGCTCAGTCAAGCTTGGAGAATGGCTCATCTTGGAGTTGGTTAGCATCCGAAGCGCCAAATGTTCTAGCTTTTGGTATACTGCAAGCTTTGCAACCATCAGCAGTATCTCGTCTAGTAAGGTCACTGTGATCATAGCCCGTATTCTTTATCGCTAACTCGATTATAGTTTGACATTGGGGTTGCCCAAGAGTTGATTCTCAGCGGGTTCGCAGCGGACACAAACTTCAGCAGACCAGTGACTCTTTCCATCTTGACTATTCTAGCAAACAAGTTCAAAGTTGAGACTGTTCCAAGCCTCATAACAGCTCTGGAACAACGATCCTCGAGTCTGTCACCCGCATCTACGTCAGGAAATGACGCCTCTCGCTTGGAGCAAATCACCTCCATTTATGCCCTTGTTGCGGGAATGGTCAGACGATATAGCGGCAAGGAGGCCAAGACACTGTTAGATGTGGTCAAGGAATCGCCTAAAGATCCCAAGCTTGGCACTGAACTTGCTCGACGACTTGAAATGATCGTGGCCCCCCAGCAACCGCTTACCAAAGAGTGTTATGCCATCGTCAAGCCTCTCTGGACCCAGAAGGTCTATTTCCAACTTGTCAGCCCAATGCTACAAGCCGCTACTGGAAAGGAAACAGAGGTCCAGGACCAACAGGTCAAGGCGAACTACAGCACCGCCGTGTTGCTCATGGTTAAGCACATGAACTTCCCAATTTATGAAGCCGATGCAGACAGCATCCTCCGAATCTCGATCGCCGTTGCGCAAAACAGTGGCATCGGCCCTGAAACCAAGGCCGCCCTGGATGTGATTAAGAATACACTCGCAGAGGCTCCCGAGAAGGGTAAGGGGCACATTCGAAGCATCATCAAGATCTGCAGCAGTGTCTTCTCACATAAACCGTCTCCCGCATCTGCTGATGTAGAGACGGAGGGTGCTTGCGGCAAGCTTGCGCTGGAGATCGTGGGGAGCCTACCACAGACATACGACTCCCAGCACTTGATACCACATGCGCCTCAAGTGCAACGACAGTTGACATTGGTTTGTGGACACCGCGTACGAGAGGTGAGAAAGACAGCACGATTGGCCAGGGCAGCTTGGGCAGATCTCAAGTAAGATGAGCTGTTTTTTACATAGAGGCAATGTGATAGGACTGTGGGACTTGATCTCCTTTTCTTGATTGGCGCTAGATAGGTAGTCGGAAAAGATTCATATAACACAAAGAGATCATTCGGAATTGGACAATAATTAAGCACAAGAACCATAATCAGACGTTCTGCCGGAGTTCTGACAATGTCCTGTCAGTGCATGGTATCAAGATGATTCCCTACAAACGCCATACTATATATAACCACTTCTTATTCTCTTTAAGCTACACTATACCCCTTTTTACGCCTTGCGTCGCTTGCCACCCTTCTTTTCAGTTACTTCTGGTGTGGATGCGGCCTCGGCACCAGTGGCGTTGGCAGCCAGAATAGCATCGAGAACATCAGGGCTGGCATCCAACAACTCCTTAGAGACGGTGACACGCTTGGGGTCCCGCTTGCCGATCAAAGGTACTGAGTTGGCGAGGAGCTCCTGGAAGGGAACAGCAACAAATTGGCCAGTCTGGTCGAACCAGCCGCTGAAAGGCTTAGAGATTTTGTGAACGGTGGATTTCGAGTTCTTATCAGTGACAGTAATAGTGAGGTTGTAGATGGGGACGTTCTTCTTTGTAGAGCTGCTGATGGAGATCTAACAAAGGTGTTAGTAGACTGTAAAGAAGATGCGAGTAACTTCGCCTGACCTTCTCTCCTGAGGGTGAAGTTCCCTCGTACACAACACCCTTTTCACGGAACATAATCCATAGTGTCAAGACGCCATTGATCAAGGTGTAGAGCGTAACGGCAGCAGCTGTGTAGTATTTCGTGCTCTCAAAGCCTAGCTTGTAGTCCCAGAGGAAACAAGCAGCTGCAATACCGAAAGCAGTGTATCCGAGCGCAAGACGGACATCGGTGAGGGTGTGAGATTGGCGGAACTTGAGAGAGTTTAGATAGTTGGGGATAGCATCGTCGGATGTGTTCTTGAGATCTGTGTCGCGAAGAGCCACCGTGTCAGAAGATTGTCCCGTATAAGAGTTTATAAGGAGCTGGAAAGCTTACCAGCAAGATTATAGACCGAGATCTTTTCAGCGGCGTTGGCCATAATGAATTATAAGCCTGCAATGGCTTGTGTCGGAGAAATTGAGTGCTGTGGTATGTTGCTAAAGAAAGTGGCCGTTTTCTCTGTGTATAAGTATAGAGACTCGCTGTCATGGGAAGTCTGTCGTGGGGCTGAAGCATGTGGATAGCTGTCCCTTCATCAAAAGCCTAGCCCGGAACAGCTAAGGCCCTCCGTAAAGTGTGGCTGCTCCAGGGTCGTTAGTGTACCGCCACCAATCATGCAGCTCCGCCTTACATGTGGCGTCAGTTGCCTTGAATCGTGGCTATTTGACGACCTTGAACCTCACGTCTCCAACAGCTCCATTGCAACGCGACATCAGCTTCGCCCTTCCCAACGCTGCTATTCCACGTCCCCGAACATCGACATCATGGCGCAAGCTCCGGTTCAGACCCTTCATAGGGATCCTCAGTTATTGTTCGTCGCCTCCCGACCGATCCGCCAATGGACTAAACCACTAACTTGAGCTTGTAGCTACTGGATCCTTATCCCCATCACCATTGTCATGGTCTTGACTGGTGTGCTCCGTCATTACGCATCTGTCCTTATGGCGACCGCGCCTAAGAAGCAGGACGAAAAGGCGATGCGTGAGCAACGCTTCCTTGCTCGGGGTGTAGCTCTTCGGACCAACCACCATGTCCTCTCACAGAGGGCATTCGAGTCTCGACGTGATACTCTGACAACCAATTACGAGGCCGGAACATACCTTAAGGAGCCCGATCGCAAGGGCCAACCTCCTGCCAACCCTCTGTCCGATCCCAGCGCTATGGACGGAATGATGGGTATGATGAAGAACAATATGGCCATGATTATCCCCAATACACTCATCATGAGCTGGATTAACGCCTTCTTCAGTGGATATGTCATCAGTATGTTGAATTATCATTGAATATAGACAAGACTAATCGTAATAGTGAAACTGCCCTTCCCCATTACTATCAAGTTCAAGAGCATGCTCCAGGCTGGTGTTCAGACCAGGGAAATGGATCCTCGATGGATGTCCAGTATCAGCTGGTACTTCCTCTGCATCTTCGGTCTCCAGTTTGTTTATGTGTTCCTTCTTGGCAGTGACAATGGTAGGCGTCCTGATCTGGCAATTCCTTGACCATGCACTAACACAATGTAGCCGCCAGCCAGGTTGCCCAGCAAATGCAAGCGCAGCAGATGCCCAACCCCATGATGGGTGGTCCTGGCCAGGACCCCCACAAGCAGTTCGTGGCCGAGATTGAGAACTTGAACGTTGTGGAGCACTACTCTGTTCTGGACAACGTTGAGGAACGTTTTTTGGCGGGTATCAAATCGTAGATTCATAGAACGAGCAAATGCACATACGCCAAATAAAACGCGGTGACATATTTTTCCTGGGCCCTTGTTCTTCAATAATTCCTCAGTCCATTATCCAACACTATGCTCCATCCCACCAGAGGCATACACCTAATCCTTCAGCAGCCATACTAGCCTTGATGCGGTACGGAGTTTTCAAAGGTGAATCTTCGGCTTGTGTTGGTCCAGCGGGAGCTTGATCGTGCCACTCCTCCTCGATTACTTGAAAGCGAACCATCTCATGGTTATCATAGAAGAGTCGATCCTCATCGAGATTCCAGATCCAGAGTTGTTCGCTGTGGTTGCTGCACAGTGTTAGCATCTGCATATGTGTACCATCACGGGCTTCTCACTATTCAGCACCCTCTGGTAACTCCTCAAATGGCACAAAGATATCGTCGAAGAAATCTGTTCTCAGATTGATACCTGCAGGTGTAGAACTTCGTATTCTGCCAATCATGACTTCACCTTTGAAGGGACGGAATACGACCATACGAAACTCAGCTGCGCGATGCTCCATTAGCTTCACCTCAAGTTCAAAGTGCATTTCTACTCACTGTTCACGTTCACCAAACCTGTGCCATGACCAATGAGACCTTCTGAAGCCCACTGCAAATCGTACAAGCAGATACAAAGTCCAATCTTTTGTATAACCTGCAACGCTCTGTTAGTCACGGATTCAATGTGCGATGCGTAAAATAAATCTCACTTTATTGGAATATTTGGCATTGATGTTGTCTTCGATTGCGTCTATGCTGCGCTTGGAGAAATCCTCCGGCGCAATTTGCACCAAGTCGGCGATCTTCGTCTAAACAACTTATGAGTTCTTCATTCATGCATCTATAGCAGGGTGAAACAAACCAAGATGAACATTGGAACACCGAGTGCGGGAGAAATGCGCCAATATGAGTCTTCTGGTAAGTCAGGGATAAAGGAGAAGTAAAAGATCGCTCAAGACCTATGAAAAGAAATTCAGCTCTATGAAGTTCTTCAGTACCAGCCTCAGGGTGTTTCTCAGCGCCCAAATAACCTTGAGAGCGGCAGAAAAGAATGCCAGTGCCGCTAAGCCGCCTTCGGTTGAATTGGAGCTCCAAGCATCTCACCGCCTTCTGAAAGAAGACTGGTACACCAACCGTGACTGCGGTGTACAGGGAAGTTCGTCACAGTCTGGCGCTCCAGAGGAAGCTCCTTCCATCTTTCAATCATTGGCGTGCCGTCTTTTTTTTTTTTTTTTTTTTTGGAAAGGGCATCACAAACGGGCAACTGCAGTCCTGGTGCCATTGCCTCAATTACCAGCCTGAGAGTTCCAACAAGATAATTATAACTCTGATTCCTACTCTCTTTCACTTGAATTCCTTCTCACGTTGTCTTATCCTACGTAAACTTTTACTCCATCACTGCAACTCCCTAGATTTTTCACCACTCCCGACTTTCGACTCGCTGAATTCCGACACTCCATCGAGTAACTTTGCAAACAAACAATCGATTCAATTACAAACGCACGCCTTGAAGTTTCGATCTCCAGCTGAAAATCCGACTTTGCCCTTCGCGATCTTCAAATCCTGCCACCTGAGCATCGACCCCCCCTACGTCTATTGTCATCAACACTTATCTTCACCATGTCAGGTTACGGTTACGGTCCTCCACCTCCGCCACCGCCGCCTTCTTCTGGTGGAACTTCAAGTTATGGGCCACAAGCTCCATCATACCCTCAACATGGCCAAGGTCGAGGAGGGCATCACGGACGAGGACGCGGTGGCCATTACAATAGCGGCCGTGGAGACTACCATGGCTCCCCTCAAGGTCATTATGAATACAATGGCCAGCCATATCCTCCCCATCACAACCCTCCCCCCTACGGCGCCGCGCATCCCCCTGCAGGAAGCTACCCTCCGCAGCCTCAATGGGGACCAGAGCATGGGCATCCTCCTCATGGGCATCCGCAAGGTTCTATGCCTCCAGGCAATTACCATCCCAACTATCCTGCCCAGCCATACCCTCCCTCTCAATACCCTCAACAGCCACCTTACGGCGCTCCACAGGCCTATCCTTACCAAGGGCCACCTCCTCCCCCAAACCAGGCCCAGTGGAGTGGTGCTGGACAGCCCCCGGGAGGCCCTTATAGCAACGGGAGAGGGCGCGGTGGTTACAATGACCGCAATGGCCCAAAGCCTCCGTTAAATGGTCCTGTGCGACCTGGCTATGAGCATGAAGCCATGCCACCAGCTAATGGCTATGGTCAGCCTTATCCTCATGACCCACGAGCAGTTCACTATCCTCCTCCTCAGTACCCGGCATACCCTGGCCCCCCTCTACCCCCTGGTCATCATCAGGACGGCTACTACGGCCACAACAACCGTCGTGGTAGAGGAGGCTTTCGTGACGGGAACACTCGAGGTCGCGGAGGTCACCATGGAAATGACAAGTCACGTCACCAGAAACATGGAAACAACGACTCTGCTCATCACAAATCCGAAACCCCAACTTTGGGAAAGAAGAAGAAGCGCAAGACCAACACGCTCGGTCTTACCCCTGGTATGGATTCGGAGTCTGAAGATGACGAAGGTGAGGAGAAGGTTTTGACGGACTTGATCGGACAAGAAACACTCAAGTAAGTACTCGTAGCCCTTCCGCTATAATATTGCTAACAATTACAGTGTGAAAGATGTTGCCTCTTTCCTAGCGGAGAGAAAGAAGCATTTCCCCACTAAGGCTCGCGTAGAAGCCAAGAAGAATGCCGAGTTGGCACAAAATGGCGAAGACAAGGCCTCCTCGCTAGAGAAACAAGCCGACAAACTCAGACGACAGTTGCGCAAAGTTGAGTCGTCGATCAAGCGAAAGCGAGAACAGGGTGACGAAGGTGACGAGATGCGAGATCCAACAGAGGAGTCATCAGATGACGAGCCAGAAGTTATGTCTACTCGTGCCCATGTTGCTCCCCCGCCTCCTCCGCCGGCCAAGAAAGCCGACGTATCCAAGCATTGCAAATATTATTCCACTGGTGGAACATGCGGCAAGAAGGGCAAGTGCCGCTTCGTCCATGATCCTGAAGTCCGCGAAGCAGCCATGAAGGATCGTGAGGCCAACAATGGACGGCTCACTATTCAGCAACGATTGATTCTCAACGACAAGGAGCAAGAAGATCTTACTGTCCTTCAGTCAATCCAGTATCTTCGCAAAAAGGGGCTCATGCAGCCTGAGGAGCCTGAGGTCAAAAAGGAGACAAAGCCAGTCAAGGTTGACCTACCGGCCCATCCGCCTCCTTCAAGCCTTCTTCCTGCTGCATCGGCGTCACTTCCCCCTCCACCTATCAAGCGAGAGCCTAACTTGCCTCGTCATAACCCACCTCCGTCCATCATCCCTAGTGCCAACGGTAGCAGCACTCAGGGAGTCAAACCATATCAAGGATGGAACCTGAGGCCTTATGGAAGCACGGGTGGCAAGTCGTCCAAGAGCGACGATCTTCCTTGATCTACTTATGTCACGGTGCTGGCCCGATGTTGTCTTCATCGATATCTGGCCTGCCAGATTGTGGCTTGGCACCCCTTACAAGGATAGTTGTCCTGGCCTGGAATTCACGTTTCTCTATATACTGTGTATAAGTATAACAGCCGATTATAACGTCGAGCTTGCTGTGGGTCGTCTGCACCTTTTCCACGGACCCAAACGATGTCAGGTTGTCTGGACGGTGTTCAAGAGCATGGCTATATCAGTGGTGAGCTTCACTGAAGATTATTTACCACATTTGTTGGGACGTTCACGAGGTGCATTGCTTTTGGATTGGACTGGGAAATGAGGCGTTATTTAATCAGTCAAGGGCATTAATGGCGTCTAAATTTTAGACGTCTTGGGATCGGAAAATATATATTTCATGCTTTTGTCATGCGCATTGCCCAGCCAGTCTTTCTCAACATGAACAATTAATCTACTCATGGACGCCGCAAAGTTGTGGTTCTTATGGTTACACACGTTTAGTTTATCAACTGGTATGCAATGAAGTAACAACCTAGAAGACATCGATGATCGCGCGAGTGCGCTGTACTCTTCAAGTTGTGCTAATGGCGTAGTGATAGAATGAGGAACTGAGGTTCAAACAACACCAGAGTTGTAAAAGAACAGATCACGTTGAAACAGGAAGTCTTGCGTATATGATAGGATGTCGTAGGACTCGTGAGGTTTAACAATTACTTCTAGACAACGATGCCATTGTGAAGCGTTGTCTACATATATCCATCTCTGTCTACAGTACATCGACTTCGCCATCCCTTGACAAAAAAAAAGCTTCAATGGTTTTGTCCCCTTCTTGTCTGTAATCCATCCGCATCGCCAGTGTCCTTTGCCAAAACCATGCAAACCACCCCTGAATGAAGACGTAACAAAGGGAAATAAAATGGGGGAGGAAAGATGACAACTCCGTCGCTAATGTAGCCCCTGAACCTAAAACAATCGGAAGCAAAGTGCAAAAAGGGGTAGTTGTGAAGATGTGATCAAAAAGTCAAGCTCGTGAAACGCCCCTTGCTAGCAAACTCCTCGAACGTTGCTTGCGTGCGAAGAAATCTCGAGTGGGAAAGGATGGTGCAGATATCCAAAGGTGAGTGAGGGTCGGTAATGTCCGATGCTATGGGAGTAAGCTCCAAGCACGATAGACACAGCTAAGGTGAGTGACCAAATAGATGGTACAAGTAGACGTCGAGATGTTTCCATCATCAGCGCCGACCACGCATGGCTTCCAAGGCCTGTCGCTTACGAGCCTCTTTCTCGGCCTTGAGTTGCTTCTCGAGTCGCTCTTCTTTGAGATCTTCGATTTTGGCAAGTCGCTCTGCTTGCCGCTCTTCGTCGTCGATATCATCCATGCCCGCCTCCATATCTGAAGAACCATCGGAAGCATAATCATATCGTGGACCACCGTCGTCTTCTTCATCGTCATAGTCAATAAAATCATCCAGATCCTCGTCGTAATCGTCTTCAAATCGTGACTTTGAACGTGATGGACGAGGAGCTCGTGGGGCACTGAGTAATGCGCCACCACGAGGGGCTTCCTTCTTCTTCTTGCCGACGTCACCTCCTGGTCTGGGTCTGGCTGTGCCAGTATAACCAGTCGTAGCCATGGCGGCCTTCTTCACCTTCTTGGTTTCTTCCTCAGGGGGTGCGGCTCTGCCTGAGGACTTGCTGCCGGCTATCTTGCCACGTTCTGCTTTTGACGGAGGCAAGGGTTTTCCGTTACGCGGATCCCTTCCGGTTCCAGACACAGGCGCGCCATTCCGTTGAGCTGGCCTTTGACCTGGTTTCGCTGTACCGGAGTAGCCTGAGGGAGCAGGTGCTGAACGTTGCTTCATACTTTTGGCTGCTCGAGGATCGACCTTGGCAGGTGGCTCCTCCTTGACCTTCTTCAACGCACCACCTTCAACCTTCTTGTGTTGGATCTTACCAACTTGTCCCATCGATTGCTGGGCCTTCTGAGCCCGAGCAAGAATCTCGGCGAAAGACCCCTTCTTCGGTGGTGCTGAAGATGCGCTAGCGGGACCCGGTGACGGTCTGCTGGGGGCAACAGGCTTGGAGACCCTGTTACCCCCATTCATGGGTTTGGACGACAAGACGGATGGTTTACTACTGCCATTCGAGGGGTTCGAGGGTCGTTGTGAGGGTATCGATCTGTCGGCGGGTCGTGATGGGAGGTTGGGTCTTGAGACAGCAGTAGGGGATTGTGTCGTTCGTGGTGCCACGGTACTGGATAATGTGGTCACTCGAGGTGCCTTTGAAATACTCGATCGAGGATCATCGTCGGCCTTCCTTTTGGGTAACGTGTTCGACCGGACCAGGCCCTGTTTGGGGGGTACGGAAGACCCCTCATCACCACCGCTGATCTGGGCCAGGAGATCTCCAATCTTGAAAGCCATGGTCAACTTTTTCCTGATACTCACGAAGTTTGCCTCCGGACAGTTACTCACCGGCATCGCGTCGTTAATGTAGTCAAAAAAACTTAAAGATATCAGTTGACTAGAGTCCTCAAAGACAGAGAGGAACAAGTAGCCTCAGGCGTGGATTGTGAGTCATTGAGCGGCTGGCTAAAGCTTGTTCACTCGGTCTGTCGTCAGGCACTTTTTTGACGTCTTTAAACTCAAGAGTTTAAGACTTTCTGGTGATAAGAGGCGCAGAGTCGATAGGAGGGCTGTTCGTGGTCGTATTCGCTCGAAAATTTCATCAAATACGCCTGAAATACAGGCGATCACGAAACAAAAGAAGAAGAAAGCACACAGTTAGTGAAGAGCAAAGAATCAGTCAACAGCCAACTTTATGGGCGAGGCCATGAAATCAGGAAAGCGCCACAGGCTGAACGCAGTCACGTGGAGATTCTAAAAATCTGTGGCGGTGCGTCTATCGGATCCGGCGTTTGTCTTGTTCCGATCTCCCCCGCCATCACCCTCAGGTCTCAAGGTTCAGGTGCTTTCGGCGTGAGTACGCGCCTAAAAACCCCGCTGCACGTGACCCCACGGTCTCGCCAAAGTACTGGTTCCCACAGGATCAAAAATCGCCTTTAGCTTTCACGGGATCGCGAACTTTTCTCCTTTTTGTCACACCGAACAACCTCACCATCGAACTCGAAGGTTTCAGTCTCCGCCCAACTTGCGGTTAAAGTGATTGATTTCTCGTGTTCTCTTCCGACTTCAGATGTGAGTATATAACAGTGCCTTCCCCCCCCTGCTTGGACTCGACAAGCGCAACATCTTTTCAATTAAGATCTTTTTTCTAATATCTTTTTGAATCAGAAACCACTATCAAAATGAAGCACCTCGCAGCTTACCTTCTTCTCGGCCTCGGAGGCAACACCTCCCCCTCTGCCGCCGATGTCAAGGCCGTTCTCGAGTCCGTTGGCATTGAGGCCGACGACGAGCGCCTCAACACCCTGATCTCCGAGCTTGAGGGCAAGGACATCCAGGAGGTAAGATTAAATGATACTCACTATGAGACTGTACTGTACTAACAATCATCCAGCTCATTGCTGAGGGCTCTGAGAAGCTCGCTTCCGTTCCCTCCGGCGGTGCTGGTGGTGCCGCCGCTGGTGGTGCTGCTGCCGCTGGCGGAGCCGCTGAGGAGGCCAAGGAGGAGGAGAAGGAAGAGGAGAAGGAGGAGTCCGACGAGGATATGGGCTTCGGTCTCTTCGACTAAGCGATCTCTATCTAAAGATCTGCACGGTTACGCCCCCTCACGAATTTCGAAGTTGCTACGCACGGGTTGTTCACCAGTTCTTACGTGTCTCTGGCGTGGATGGATTGGCCACTCATGGCTGGATTGGGTCTCTGTAAAAATGGGATAACTACGGTCTGAGAAAATTAAAAAGGCGGTTCGGCTCTTCGAATGTTTTGGTTCCACTGTGAATGATCTTCCGTGAAAGCTTGTCTTGGTGCATTGTCATGTTTCGGTGAAGCCACACCAACTGGTTCTAATTAGGGTTTCTGGCATGCCACACTTGGTGAAGTATGACTGTTCCGTCTGGCGGCGTGTGGCATCACACAACTTACCCTATGGCTGATGATAATGATATAGAAGTGATTCTCATTCAACTCTCTCCTGTAAAAATTCTTTCTTGGCACGCACTGTTAGTGCGGTGCTAGGAGCGGGATTTTCTGCAGGCCACGCGACC